TAATGACTTCTATAGATTAAACTCATAAGTTACTGACACAAACTATTGGGTTGGTGATAGGGTAATACTTTCAATAATATTAACAGTGGCAGAACAATGTCTAGCAGATTAATATGTATCAAAATAAAGCAAGGAGGGCATTAAGATAGTAAGTATATAGCACTTCCAGCCCAGCGTTCATTGGACACCCTCAAGGCATGAGATCTGACTCAAAGTCCAACCATCACTGATTGTATACCTTTGGGATAGTAGTCATCGGCTTCTTTTCTCACTAGAGAGTTTCTGTCTTAGTCCCAAGGGCTGAAGGTGCGTTTATGGAAAGATCAGTTCCTTAGTGGGGTTTCTGAAGCAACACCTGTGTTGTGGCCTCGCAAGGCTGTTGTACCTGGAAACAAGGAGTCTCAGGTGCCAGTAGTCTATAGTGTGTGACCTGGATCATCAAGATCTAGACAGAAACTCGGTCAGAAATGCCCATAGAGCAATACGGAACCGGCATATTCTTCCCGTGGGTTCGTTCTGTGGCTAACAGGGTTTTTTTCCTGATTGGTGGTCACTCCTTCCCATATTTCTCCCATTAGAGAGGAATTAGCCTTCTCCAAGATGATCAGTTCCAGAGGGGGAATGTTTGATTTTTCTTTATTTCTTTCCATTTAAGATAGGTTGAGAACGTTCTAACTTTTTGGATTTCTAACTGTGAGTCTTTGCACATTTCATGATAATATTTTACTTTGTCATTTTGAGCTGCCCTTTGAAATTTTTTATTCAGCTCGTCGATTTTATCATTTCTTCAATTTGTTTTAGCTACTGTATGATTAAGAGCAAGTTTCAGCATCTCTTTTAAAAAAAAATCATTTTATTGGGGACTCTCACAGCTCTTGTAACCTTCCATGCATCTATTGTATCAAGCATATTTGTGCATATGTTTCCATCATCATTTTCAAAACATTTTCTATGTGAGCCCTTGGTATAAGCTCCTCTTCTTTCCCTTCCCTCTCCCGCCATCCCAGCCTTGTGAATCCTGACGCAATTATATATTGTTATTATTATTTCATATCTTATACTGCTCGTTGTCTCCTTCACCCACATGTCTGTTATTCATTTGCTTCGGACGGGTGGTGGTGGTGTTGCTATATATCCAAACTTGTGAGGGTCAGAGTCTCTCTCTTTTTAATCATTTTATTGGGGATCTTACAACTCTCGTTACAAACCAGACATCAATTGTGTCCGACATAGTCATACATATATTCCTTCGTTCTTTTCTAGACATTTACTTTCCATTGAGCCCTTGGGATCAGCTCGAGCTCTTTTGAGAGTCTCTTTTGACATCTACTTTGATCTTTTCTTTATTTCATGTCTTTTAAATGACCTTTTGCATTTTTCATGAGTTATATTCTTAATGTCCTCCCACAGCTCATAAGGTCTTCTGTCATTATTGTTCAATGCTTCAAATCTATTCTTGAGATGTTCTCAAAATTAAGTTCTGATAGACTCAAGGTGATATTTTGGCTCTTCTGCATTTGTTTTAATTGTCTTCAGCTTTATCCTGAACAAACATATGAGCAAGTGATGGTCTCTTTGACAGTCAGCCTCTAGCCACATTTGAGCTGCTGATAGTGAGCTTCTCCATCATGTCTTCCAACAGATGTAGCCAATTCAATTTCTGTATATTCCATCTGTAGAAGTCTGTCTGTATAGATGCCTTTTTGTGTTATTGAATCAATGTATTTGTTATGAATAGGTTGTGGATCTTGAAAAATTCTATCAAGTGATCTCCAGCTTCATCTCTTTCACCAAGTCCATATTTTCCAACTATTGTTCCTTCCTCATTGTTTCCATATTTTGCAAATCAATAGGCAATAATTACTAATGCATCTTAATTACATGTTTACTCACTTTCTGAATGAAGTCATTGGTAGTATTCTTCAGTTTCTTTATCACTAAGTTTTGTGCATAACCTTGAATAATAGTTGTTTTGATTGGATTTCTTTGAAGGTGGATAGATATAATCTATCATAAACAGCATTGTACTTTAAGATTGATTTTACAATGTCTTTTTAGACAATGAATGCAATGTCATTTCTCTTGATTGTGTCATTCCTGGCATAGCAAATCATAAGATTTTCTGATCCCGAATGTCCAATACCAGTCCATTTCAGCTCATGGATGCCTAGGATGTCCATCTTTATGTGATCCATGTCTTCTTTGATGACTTCCAAGCTTCCTAGATTCAAACTTCACACAAGGCGAGTGGTGGTCAGAAGTAGGTTTTTGCATCTGTTTCTCCTGAGCCCGAGTTTCAGCCCATCAGCAATTCAGATCAAGGAAGATGCAGTCCCACGGGCCTCACCAGGCTCACGGCCACTCTGAGAAAGCAGCTTCTCCTCGGTCACCTTTTAAACGCCCTTTGACCAGATGGGTACATACTCTGGAACTGTTTCTGAACACGCCCAATTCCATTCATTAGGCCTTCAGAAGCCGACGATGTCTGAAGCTATGCATTAGGTTTTCATAGGTTCCTTCCTCTGACAAGGGCAGCTGAGTTCTTTTTCATTGTCTGTTGTTAGTCTGAGAGCGCCACTGAAATCTGTCTACTTTGAGTGACCCGGCTGGCATTTGCAAAACCAATGACATTAGTTACCAGCATCAAAGCATCATGGAAGTCACCACAGTACAAGTTGACCAACAAATGGGGCTGCAGCAAAAAAGAGTAAGGTGCTCAAGAAGATAGATCGGCATACTGGCTGCAACTACTAGCAGAAGTATATGAACCATTGGAAGGGTGGCTCAGGACTGCACAGTGTTCTGTTCTGTCCTGCATAGGGGCACCATGAGTTGGAACTGACTCAATGGCACCTATTACCAACAATTAGAGACTGTTTTGACTACTTTGGCTGTGGAATAAATTTTCAGGTCGAGTAATATAAGACTTCCTACTTTGTTATTCTTTTTGAGGAGAGCTCTGCTAATCCTGAGCCTCTTCCTTTTCCATATGAAGCTAGCGATTATTTTTTCCATTTCTTTAAAGAATGGCATTGGGATTTGGATTGGAATTGCGCTGTATTTGTAGACTGCTTTGGATCATGTTGACATTTTTAAAGTATTAATTCTTCCTATCCATGAATGTAGGATATTCTTTCATTTGTGCAGATCTCTTCTGGTTTCTTGTATTAATCAAAGTTGTCTAGCTATTCTTTTAGAAGGACATAGGTATGCTTCTCATTGTTTTCATTGTTATACAAATACTCTACTATGCACTTAAAAGGCCTTCAGAAGCTGACAGTGTTTGAAGACTTTAAGACTTTATAAAAATTGTAAGGTATTTAAAAAGTGTTTAAATAAATAAGCAATCTCTTAATACCCAAGGCCTCCATCTAAAAAAATTAAGGTTGGTTTAATATAATTTCTTTTTAAAATATTTTCATTTCAAAATATTTGGGAGGGATGGGGCTTGTGTATCCTCAAGTCATTAAATAAGGTATTTGTTTTAAAAATGTTCTGGTTCTAGGAATTATGTAATTAAAAGATAACAAATAATATTTGGAAATATGTCTCCAAGTATGTTACTTTGAAAATATGTGTCTACCCTTTATACATAGATTGCTATGTACTCGACAATTGGTAATTTAATTCTGATATGTGTAATAAATCATGTGCTTGCCGATCTGTGGCATTTTTTTCAAGCTATATTGTTCTTCAAAACAATATGTATCACATGTTGATATTTACTTCAGATTTAATAGCATCTTTACTTTGGTGGTTTTACTTGCTACTCCTTCAAGATATGCTATTTAGGTCCAGAATTTGCCTATGATTCACCTGATGCAAGCAACGTATGGATTGTAACAAGAGTTGTAAGAGTCCCCAATAAAATGATATTTTAATAATAATAAAAAAGAATTTGCCTATGATTAAAAATTAAATAAACATTAATACTCTGTAGGAATTAAAATAGTTTGACTATTTCTTTTAAGAGTTGCTCAAAAGCAACATCGATAAATTGAGAAAAGATAGCCACACATTACTAAGGCTGAAATGTTGCTGACATCTTCTAAGATTCAGATAAAAATCTTTAAATATATGATTCACACACAATCAAAAACTGTTAAAAGTTAAGCTTTCTGTGAATTTCAAATATGTGACAACTGTATATTCAGATTTTAGAAAGCTACATTTGCATTTCTTTCAATAATGGCAATCTAGTTAATAGCATCAATTAATTGGTAGCATTTTGTAAGACTTATAGAGCTAAATTAAGAAATTAGAAGAAATCATTTGTTAGATTGGTGTTTTAATTTTGTAAAAAATACCTGTCAAGCAAAACACACACCGTTCCAAGGTCTTTAATGCTTCCTCCCTCCCACTGTCATGACCCTAATTCTATCTTACAAATCCAGCCAGACCAGAGGATGTACACTGGTACAGATAAGAGTTCTGAACACACAGACTCCAGCACAGATAAACGTCTCAGGATCAATAATGAGAGTAGCAGAACCATGAGGGTGAGGGGGAAGTCGGGGAGAAGGGGGAGAAAGGAGGAACAGATTGCAATGATCGAACTACAACACTCCCCACTCCCTTCCCCTCCCCTCCCAGGGGACGAACAACAGAAATGTGGGTGAAGGGAAACAGTTGATGGTGTAAAATATGAAAATAAAAATAATTTATAAATTATCAAGGATTCACAAGCTTGAGATGGTAGGGGAGAGGGTGAAGAGGAGCTGATACCAAGGGCTCAAGTAAAAAGAAAATATTTTGGAAATGATGATGGCAACATAAGTACAAACATGCTTGATACAATTGATGTATAGATTGTTATAAGAGCTGTCAGAGCCCCCCAATAACATGATTTATTAAAATTAAATTTAAAAACTAAATAAATATATTCATCACCACAAAAAAAGATACCTGTCGTGGATTAAAGGGACAATTATGCATATTCTTAATATATGACAACTATGCTGAAAATATTAATTTTTTTCTTTTGCTTCTGTTTCTACCAGCTGAGGGTGCGTGCGGAGGAACCTTACGAGGAACAAGCAGCACCATTTCTAGTACCCACTTTCCGTCTGAGTATGAAAACAATGCCGACTGCACCTGGACCATTCTTGCTGAGCCGGGGGACACCATTGCTTTAGTCTTTACAGACTTTCAGCTAGAAGAAGGGTATGATTTCTTAGAGATCAGTGGGACCGAAGCACCGTCAATATGGTAAGTGCTAGACAAGGGATGTGAGCGTATGGTGTTAATAGGTTTGCCCTGTTTCCCAAAACTCTTTAGAATTATTTTACTGTACATTCATTAGCAAATATTATTCTTCCCTCGCTGCCTTGTTACTTTCACTATTACACATTCATGTTCTAGGACTTCCTTAAAAGTCTCGATGGTATTTTTGCGCTAGTATTTGGAGTTCGAACACTTATTGGAATGCCATATTCTTAATATTCCCTTATTTTGGGCTGTTTTAAAGGAACACAAAGGATAAAATATACTTTATTTTGATTTGGTCTAGAACCAATCATTGTGAACTGATATCTTTTGACTGAGAATGTTGGTTTCTTTCATAATGCCAGTCATTTACAGACTCTTGTTGGATTGTTTGTTTATTTATGTTTCCTCTTTCTTGAACATGGTGCAGGAAGTCATATAGCCCCCCTGAGGACATGGCTGTAGTTACAAGAAAGTTACAGGCAAATTAAGACAGCATACTTATTAATAAAAATAAAGTACAAAGGAGATAAAAAAAACAACTATTAGTTCTCTAGTTTAAATGCCAGTGGAGACAGAACACATGATCTAATTGATTATAGTCTATTTAGGTTTGAATGTGCTGATTTCAAAGAGCAGCTTTAACCGTGTTTGTAAAAGGAAAAAATAGAAGAATGGATATCTAAATGCTTAAATTATACCTCTAAGTATGGCATTTACAGTAGATTGAACTGTTTCATAATTATTTAATTTCCTAGCATTTTAGAAATGACATTAATTGTCTATTCAGATAATCTATTCAAATATGAGAAAACTTGAATACATCTGTATAATCCTATGGTGGAAAGCATAGAGAATACTCATTTATGCATGGGGAAAGAAGAGTGTGAAAGGAGTCCCTGTGGGTATTTCTGTAGCCTCAGAGGTGCGGGAAGCATAATCATCTGAGAGTACATTCCAATGGCAGTTCATTCCTTGGGACCTTGAACAAGAGCTCAATTGTTCTCAAATGAGAAGACTCTATAAAATATCTTTTAAAAATATTAATTTCAATAAACTATTATAGAACTCTGCGTTGTCAATCATCAAAGATGCAGGTTTTCTGACACCTACTTAGCTTTAACATGACATTCCCAAGATTTTCAGAAAAGTATTAGATACCAACCAACCTATGTGATGATTTCTTTATCAGAAATTGTATGATTAATTTTAAGACCTTCAAAAGATAGGGCATACTGGTTGATGGTCCTTGGGCAATATATCAGATTAAGAGGGAAAGAAACTCGTTTGTCTGTAATTCTTGAATCCTTTGTTTAGTCAAGTACTTTGCCAGATAAGCTAAACATGTGTAAAATAGAAAGCCTTAAGATGAAGATAGCAATATCAAAATCTGAACTAATATTAGAATATGATAAATGAAATAAACACATACCTACAAAATAAAAGATACCCTGTACATACATGTCATGATTTACTACTGAGAAAACAAAAATTCCTTTATTTAATTGATAAGGATCAAGGATTAGGGGTGATTTAACTCAATGCTGTCTATTCTTTATATATTCCTCTTCATTGCTCTTCTCCACTTTGCTTCATCACTAAATGGATCTTCCCTCTAGCTTATGTACCCCAGATTTGGAAAAGTGTGAGGATTTTCCATTATTATCACATGTTTGAGATGTCAAGTATCATGATGGTAACCTAGAGGACCTGTGAGAGCCAACTCATAGGTATTTTTATATAGTAAACATTGATACACCTGGACACAGAAATTGTCTCTTACCATTTTGGTGCCTGAATTCAGACTGGCAGATGATAATTTTACCAACCACTCCCAAAGCACCAAGATTGAAGACCTAAGAGCAAAGCAGGATGAATGTGTGTGAGTTTTGATTTGATAGCTGTTGATTGCTGGATCAAAATCTTCTCTTTTAAGAGTCATTGTTTCAGACATGAAGTTTATTAGTAGTTATATTCTCATGATGACTTATACTGTCCTATTTCTTTGGCAAAAAAGTGCCTCTGGGTTGTTAATCCTATTAACTATCATTTATTGATGCAAAGCTGGACTGTCCAAAGAATAAGCTTCTATAGTAGTTGGCAGCAATGACAAAGCTTCTATAGTATTTGGCAGCACTAGGGCTCTACTCAAGATCTCTAACTCCAAACTACAATTTCTTTTCAACAAAATCAAACACTACCATGGAGCTGATTTTAACTTATATTCATCCTACAAGGCAAACTAGAATCATTCTCTATGCAGTAAATCTTTATGAGCGCAATCTGCCTCATTTTTCTTCCACAGACTGACTGGTGGATTAGAACTTCCAACCTTACAGTTAGCAGCCCAACGTGTAACTCATTACAGCTACCAGAGCTGCATATACGATCCTTCTAAAATATACCTGTAAGATTGAGTTTTGGTGGTCTGTTAGCAACGCTCTCTTGCCTATATGAGGACCAGCGGTTTTGATCCTAAAGTTTTCAACAGATGTCTAGTATAGCTGAGCTAGGTTACCTGACAAGCAGGTGAGCACACATGCTACATCAGTAGAGTGTTAGGAAAGACAGAACATGTGTGTTTGTGGATGTGTGATATTTAGTGTGTGTCATAATAATAATAAAAAAATAGCATGACATGCCTGTGGGATTATTTTCATATGAAAGAGTTATCTTTCTTTTACTTTTAAGTAAAAACATAAAAGCATATGTTCTTTTCCTAAGTAACTATTGAATACATTTAAAATATATGCCAGAATAATTTTTAGTGCCTTTTCAGATTTAAACATATACATATTATGGTTTATCGTTAAGACTATCATTTCTCAGTAATTTCATTATAGTGATCTCTGAAAGGTTTAATGATGGTCCAGAGTGGTATAGTTGAAAGTTTTCCCATCTGTGAATTCCAAGAAAAACACTAAATTGCATTGCAGGTGGGTGTAATCTATGCTGAAACCCAAGGTTATGCTCCAAAGGCAGGCTTACAATGTTAACGACTCCGAGTGAAGTGAGTGCACAAACACATATAATTTTCCAATAATCTATTTTTAAAACACAGAACATGCAAGCCAGAGTACTCTAAGAAGAAGCTATTTGGAAAATTGTTAAGAACCATAATAAGATTATCTTTAGTTTCATTTAATTTAGAGTGAAATCACCAGCTCAGCTATGTTTTCGGTTAGAGTTGCCATGGTTACACAAAGGGAGTCTAAATTTAGTGAATGGCGCATTGCGACAAACCTACCAATAAGTTAGATATGAATGAAGTAAGTTAGTAATTTAAATCCAATCAACTACATGCATATTAATTGAGCTTTTATATATACTAGTTAAATTCTCATTTTACAAAGGATAATTTTTTACTATCCATTTTTTTACCTCTCAACACTCTTCTTTGGCAGTCAGCAGCATTTACTGGTCATGTTGCCACATGGTTTAGTAATTATGATTTTTCTTACAAGTAAGTAAATATTTAGTAGTGAGTCCAGTCAAATCGTTTTTATGGAGTAATGTGATGAGGGCATATAACCTTCTGACTCAGAGCAACCCTAGAAGACAAGGTAGACCTTCCTCTGTGGGTTTCCAGGGCTCTAATCTTAATGGGAACGTCAGGCCTGACTTGTCTCCCAAGGAGCGGCTGGTGAGTTCAAACCCTAACCAGCCAAGTGTGGCACCAGGCTTCGTTGGCACATAATCTATACAATTAGAAATAGCCAAAAGGAAGAAAATATAATAATTTAGACTACTACGGTTTCGCAATTTTAAAAAGTTGTAGATATTAGGAATATAGGAGGGCTTCAAAAAGTTTCTGTAAAAATGGAATTAAAGGTAATGGCATTTTTTGAAATCTCCTCACTCTTACGTTGCCTTGGCAAAAAATAGAGGGAACATTTACCGTCTTTATAATATGCCTTCCTATAATAAGAAAAATGTACCAATATTCCTGGGGAAAAGGCAGTATGTGAAGTAGAAAAGAAAAAGAAACAAAGAAATAAAGACAATAAATGAATTTTAAAATGGGTCCCCAAACTATATTTAAACACTTCAGTTCCTTCCTTAAAAGGCTTCAATGACTGACCCGAGGCCACGAGTATGAAACTCCTTATTCAAAGCTACTTTCATAGTATGGCCTTCGTTTGTCAGCCCATCTCAGGCCCCTTTCCCTCCCTGCAAAATCTGTTATCTTTCCCCAGGTAACCACACGCCTGCCTTTAGTCTAGCCCTCCCGTGCTTCACTTTGTACATGCATCCAAGCACATGTTTCTATGTAGAAACCCCTCACTTCCCCTCAAGATCATACATTGATTAGACAATTAGGGTCGCATAGACCAAAGAACACTTAATACAAATCGCAATGTCCGCCTCTATAGGAACTTTTAACAATAATAATAACAAATATACTTCTTGCTTGAATTTGATTAAGCATGCTTTGTTATATTAAATATAAATCTGCTACATTAGGCAGCTTATTAAGATGTAATTTCTGCTGTTCACTTGCCAGCATGACTCTGTTCCTTTTCCACATCTAGATTCTGTTAGTGTACCTGGGTGGGGGTGGGGGTGGTGTTTAACATTGTACATTTTTGTTCCCATTAACTTTGCACAATCTTACTATGTAATCAATGTAAGCAATGACTTGCTGAAGCCAAAACAAAACTTCAAAGAAATGGACTTGAGCCTCAAAGAACCCTGGAGGGGTCAATTAGCACCTACAATGTTTAGCCAAATTGTCCCTTAATTGATAGTTGACTTGGTGTATATTTAATTTCGAATGAGGAAGATTATTTAGTTATACAGTGAACAATAGACTCCCTGGAATCAATTCTTACTCTCACCTGGAATAAAATTGAAATAAAACAAACAGTTTTCAGCTTTGAAGTACCACTTTCTCCATCCTAATTTTATTTTTTAACCATTTTTAACCATTTATTTTTAACCAATATATTTTATAAATATAAAATATATTTATAAAAAGTTGCAAATATATATGAGGAGGTACC